ACTCGTTATCTAAGGAAGCCAAAGTTTTTTATTTCAAATGGAGGGATGTCATGTCTATACATGTACGTCACAGATGGCCAGTCTATTAGCGCATGTCAAAGGTCAACTCGTGTGAGAGTTTCGATGTGCGGAGCCATGTTGAATAAAGGCATGTTAATACGAAGTTGTGAGCCAAACTAAGTTGGAGCTGTTGTGATATTACTTCCATCTAAAAATTGTTTAAATAATGACGCCCTCAAAGAATATAACACAACTTTTCATTTATGCAGTCCTTGTGTACAGTGTTGGCCCATTCCCCAAGCTGTATGCTTTAAACTACAGTATACCAGAAGATGTCTGCTTTGTGCTCTAAAGGTTTTCCTGATCACGCTCTGTAAGCCATTATGCTCTGGGAATTCTCTTGTTTAAGGAGCTGTCTGTGCTAAGAATGTTCTTAGACTCATTTCTTGTGTGAGTTCTTACAGACACACGTTCTTAGCAAATACCCTACTCTGTTCTTCTTTACCCGTATTAGGGGTGCATGTATTTTGAAAAAACAAATAAAACCGGTTAAAGTAGTCTTTGCTTTTCCAGGAATTTGAGAACGCAGTTGCATTGATTTTTTTATGAGCTTGAAGACACACGCAGATTTTCCTCCAAAATGTTTGGTTAAACTCAATGATATTGCCTTCAAGCAAGAAGACGTACGACAGGCACACTTCAACGGATATGTTGGTGCGATGCACTGAGTTCGTGCACGTTGTGCACATTTTTATGCAGCAACAGAATGGTGACAGCATTGTTTCTATTAAATTGGAGACTTTCAAGTCAGGAAAATATTGCAATCAATTCGAGACAAAGTTGAAACAAAATAATTGTTGACTGCTTTAATATGAGACATGATGCTTTAACACCCAAAAGACTCATCTGAGCGTCCTCCAACTTAATATGTACATGTATATAGCCATATTAACCATCCAATACGCTTAACATTTATAATTATACTTACTTTATACTTTTTTTATATTATATAATTGCGAACAGATTCACGTTATCCAAAATTATATTTTTCCACAACAATAATTAACTGATATTTACATGGGCAAAGGAAAATTGATACTTCCATGAAAGAAATGTTTAGTATTACTCTTACAAAATAATGTATTCATATTCCCACACCTCTCAGATACAGTCAATTCAGTTTTTCTGTCTTGTCCTTTAAATTGTATATTCAACCTTGAATTTCTCATGTTCCACCTTGACAGATATGTCAATTCTTGAATTCGTGAATCCATTGAACAAAGACTAATCAACTCTCAAATGGAAAAGAGTGCAAAACTCTCTTTCGAAAATAGTGAGTCACTTATAAAACCACCGAAGAAGAGTGAAAACCAATATAAAACGAATGATAGTTTCCGTTTATATGGCTTCTATTTGAGAGTAACATTTCACTTGTTTAGAGTGGCTTTTCACTCCTTTGGAGTGTTTTTCACTCTTTTGGAGTCTTTTCCTTCTTTTCAAGTGTATCTATGAGAGAATCAGTCCTTTTGAGAGTAAGGTTTTCACTCTTTGCCTTTAAAGTGTAATTCTTTAATTACGTCACAAGGTGAGACGAATTCCACTGAAATATGTCCACATCGAACGGACGAATGTTATATAAAATGATTGACCAGTGCCTAAATATGCAACATTTACGTGTTTTTGAGACAAATATGAAGTTAACTGATTTCTAATTAAAATAAACTAAGCTCAAATTTCACGCATTTTTATCTGAATCTAAAGAACGGGCTTTAAGGTCTTGGTAAAACTTTAAATTTTTTTTTTTGGGGGGGTTAATTCTATTACGTTGAAGCTTCTCAGGAACTCTATTAAATAAAAAAATACAAGTCTAGTTTAGGCTACTTTGTATATGTATAAGGCCCAGCAAACAAGAGTTCACTTCCATCAAAACAATTTAAAATCTCTTCGAATGTTGCGATTTTGCTCATTTCTTGGGCTTTTGTTTTATAATAATGGCATCCACCTCCGTTTTCGTGTAAATACTGTCCGTTTTAGTCCAATGTTTGGTAGGCATTCATATCTTTATTTTCGTAGTTTATTTCCCTGAAAGTTTACGACCTAGTCCACCTACCTTAAGAATTATCGAAGTATAAGGGATTTTTAATATTAGGTTACATTGTGGTTTGTTATCGATTTTCGTGGACAACTGATATTCAACAATTTCTTACTATGTGATACGGCGTAATCGATTAGGTGTTTTCACACACACAAAATATTCTCAAACCCTGGTGTGTAATGGTTAATATGTACTCAACAATCACTACCTTAATTAGATAAAATCTCTGTAGCAAAATACTGGATATTGTATGACGATTTCTTAAAGGTTGTTCTTGTTTGCCTGTGCAATGATCATATGGATTTTTCTCCAAAAAAGCACTTTGATGTACATACGGGAATACGAACCAGGCAGAAAAATGCCAAAGATAATATCGGATGTTTCGTTTTACGTTGAACATCACACAGCGTTTTTCTTGCTTCCCTTATGCGTGTAGTTATAACGTCTTTTCTGTTTCTAGTGCCTATGTCAATCTATAAATCAGCTGACACCTCCACAATTATGAAATGAAAGAAAATGGTTTCGTTTCTTAGGTTCAAGATTCAAAGTGTGCATTTTTCTGTTTCTGTTTTCTTTCCTAGAAAATCCATTTGACCAGTACAAACCAGGAAGCATATTAAGCCAAAGAGACATTTCTGAATGGAAGCCCGTTGAAATTGTTTACCGGTTGATTTAATTGGATTCGTTATCGGCTGCTTCCAAAGCATTCCGACGTATTTGAAGTGTCTAAAGCACCACTTATTGAACACATTAATGTTAAAAAATACCACTTTCATGTCCAAATGCGGGAAGGGGCACTAGATTTCCACTAATTTGAATTGACATACTTAAACTAAACAACTGTGCCAAAAATACGGAAGCGGGTAAGGGCCACTTGTAATTTTTTTTTTCGATTTACTATCTCGCCCCGGCGAAATGATATCATCCTTTGACGACTTTAGTATCTCGATGCAGCGACTTACTATCTCGTTGAATGTCTATCTCGCTGCGGCGAATATTTTATTATTTTTGTAAACCTTATTTAGAGGGTTTTATTTATTGGGCTTTAGATTGCTTGTAACAAAAAGAAATAAAACACAAAAGAAAGCAAAAAAACAAACCAAAAAAAAAAAAGTTTCGTGGGGTGAGTATTTCCATATTTGGAAGTTGGGTAGACTACTTTGACTCCCTGGTAGACTGCTTTGTGAAAGGATTTCGCTGCCTTTTCATTTATACTTATACAAATAATCATATTACTGAAGAAAGGAAAACAACCAATGAAATGACAAGTAGAAATGAAATAGTATTAAAACAACCCATTTGCTTAAGAAACAAACGAGAAAAATAACCCCCTATTGTAGTTGATTGTTATTGCTTTCAGCTAGATGGGTCCCCCCAAAGAAAAAATCCTGGTGGCGCCCATCGTCAATGTTTGTTACTATTTCAGACAAAACCTCGATATTGATATAGGATTTTGGAGTTTTAACAGGCAAAACAAAAATGGAAAGGAGGTCAAAGGAACACTGACACACTTTTTCATCAGCTGGCTTGCAATGTCCTGGTTTTTTTGACCTCATCCATACAATCACTCGACACAAGAGGGCCGTGGAAAGTTCATTTTAACATTTGAACACGGGTCTACTCTTCCCCGGTCACATATGCTCGGTCCCCACAGACTGTGCGTACATTTAGTTTGTGCATTCGTGCAGGCCCCTGATACATGATACTATGTGCAGGAATGAGGGCATTATGTAACGTAAAATGCTTTTAGTGTCCAAAGCCGTGAGGTATTTCATGCGTTGCGTTTATGAAAGTCCTGTGTTTGTTCTCCATTTTTAAGTGCTTTATATTAATACATTTCTACTGTTGAATTCAAATGTAACTTTCAAGCCCATTGATTCTGTGTGACACTTGGAAAATGCAGGAAGGAATTAAAAAATAGTCTACCGCTCATCTGAATGTGAAAATTCACAACACAAAATAAGATTTCCTTTGATTTCTTTTGTGTTGGAAAACAAGCCTTGTAGAAATATAACATGTCCTTTTGTTCCAATCAGCAATCTAAAACCGAATCCCACTGCATTCCACCCGAAAAATACATTTGAAAACGATGGCACGCTGAAAAGGACTCATGAAACTATTGAAATATTCGCTGCGGCCGGATGGATTCCACAATTTAACTCACATTTATGTAACGGGTTGTGCGCTTACCAACGGATATATTGATAAACACTGTATGCTCAGTGCTTGTCCGAGAGCTTGCGAAAACAAAAAATATTTCTTGAAAAATTTATACACCAGGCAAGATATGGGACGGAGGGGTACCCCCCTTACCTGTCCAATCCCTATACACACTGTAGACTATTGTTATCTAATGCATCCCCCCTTAAAAGTCTGTAAAGAATTCCTGAGATTCCGATCAAACAATGACCAACACAAAGGCGGGGGGGGGTTCTCTCCGTCCCATATCTTGCTTCAAATGAAAATTTAACTCACCTCGGCGAGATTGCGAGTCGCCGCGACGAAATAGTATGTAGGCCTATACGTAGTATAATATACGTGTAAATGAAAAGGCATCGAAATCCTTTCCACGGCGGCGTACTATCTCGCCACGGCGAGTTAAATCATTGAATGTCTATCTCGCCGCAGCGAGTTATACGATCTTGTCATATTCTCGATAGAATGTCATCCAAGGGAGAAAATTAACTTTTCAATGATTTATGCACAGACAAGCTAAACTTTGGTATTATTGCTGGCCCTCTGTTTCCTTTTTTCCTCATTCGTTGTTGCACTATATGTACATTTTCTTTCTCGGAAATGTTTTCAATGAGAATTGTTTTCATAATTGCAATATTGTAGCGTCTATAAGAAAACCTTCTTGCTGTAAGGACCTTTGACCACCTATCAACTACATTGTAACACACAGGACTATCTCTTGATTTGCGAGGCAGTGCAGTCGTAACGACGCAAAGCTCTGTCTATGATGCTAACCCCCTGTACGCCAGGTTTGCCGTGGACCGAGACCTTGGTACATTCTCCCACACGGGTAAGTGTTTTACCACATCCTACCTAATCTAGCTTGATGTCATGATTGTCACAGTTTGATCGGGTAGAGAATTACAATTATGGCATCATTCAGGCTGAACACTTCAAAACGCATAACATTTATTATCGAGTGTTTTAAAACATGAAAATACAACGGAAGTTTTCTGAAAGTGTAGCCGGAAATATTTGTAAGAATGTTGCATCACGTACGATATTTCCTTGTCAATTTCCACTAAGTATGATATTGCCCCTTTTAGTGGTGAATCTGTTTTTAACTTTTCGGCTCCAATCAGAAGAAATAATTCAAACTCATCGTTGAAGGCAAAATCTTAGAAAATCACGTCATTCCGATTACCAATTTGACTTACTCTTCCTGTGTTAATGCGTACACCCGAACAATCAGGGATGCTGAATATTTAATCCTAGTAAGTGTTAAGTGAACGTCGCGTCGGTGCATCTGTTTATAGCTTATTAAAATGCAAATTAGTTAATGGCGTGATTCCCATTTATTCAAACAGGTTTCGACACTCCAGAGGAACGCACGAACCCTTGGTGGAAAGTGGACCTCGGTTATGTCTATTGCTTGAGGAAAATCACTCTTGTTAATGTAAAAGATCTTGGCAAGTACTTAGGAGTTTCAGGGCATATAAATCTGAGTAGATAACTTTGCTGGGTTAATGTAGCCGTGAGTTGACACAATGAACGTCAGGTAAAACAATATATTTGATTTGACGTTAGTCTACCGAATTGATGCTGTTTTATGTTTACGTTAACAGTATAATAGTGATTGAAGGTTCTGAACCCAAGTTCAAGTCTTATGTAATATCTACGAGTAAACGAAATGAAAGGATAAATATTGTGCCAAAAGTACATAAAGGATATACTGCATGCGTCACGTATACGTCATAAGCAATATCGAATCTTAGAATTACTCTGGAATTATTTTGCTCAACCCAGAAAGCAGCAATATACATTAAACTTAAAAATTCCTTGATCAATCAAATATTCTTTCGTTTTAAAATTTTCCTACAATGTCGTACACGTGTTGTCTTTCGCTGTGCACTATGTCTCATTCACTTAACCCTTTTAGTGCAAATCTCATCTTTTTCACTTCTTTTACCATAGCTGAAATAAGAACGAGAAACAAACAAAAAGATTGTGTGTTCATGTGGTATTCTATACCTAGTGATGGTAAAAGCTCTTTCCGATGCTTTTACAGTTTCTCTTAATCGCTTTAACACGGTTACTGCAACCTAATGGCTATTCATCAAACAAATAACCCAATTCATATAACACTGCATATGTTAACTTCAACTACGAAAATTCATGCTAGAATTAAAGATTGTATTCAAATTTTAAGAAACTTTTGCACATACCACCGTAAAATCGCGCAGACTTTCCAACAGATGATTAACGCCCATTGACAAACACCGAGAAACAGACGAAATTATGACAACAGTCAAGTTTCAAAATTATATGACCTCTCTCTTTAATTCAATATCTGCATTCAACGTCTTTCCAACAACAAAAAGCACAAAATGGTCAATCAGTGCCAACAGAGAGTTTCATTTTAAGGCAACTGCTTTCGAAAATGGAAAAGTAGTTTGCATTATGCTTTATGGGTGGTCATTTCTGTAAGGCCACATGTGCTCCTCGACGTCGGAGCGAATGTCGTCTCTTGTTAGGCATCCGGGGAAGAAGCGTCTCCCGTGGCGGATCCAGAAATGACACGCCTAATTGTCGACGTATTCGCATGCTTCTTCCATAGCTTGAATAAGAGTGACTCTCTCGCTTGGATTACGGTCGTAGACCCAGCAGCACGAGGTGGAGAAAAACTCCTTGATTGGGTTAAGGAAGGGAGAATACGGTGGCAGGAAGATCTTGGCAAATCTGGCATGAGCATCCAACCATTCATGCACAAGAGCCGCACGGTTGAATCTGACATTGTCCCACACGATGGCAAATGATGCCAGCCCTTGATTGTCAAGACCTCTCCCTTCTAGTGGTATGAGAGTGCAAGCCAAAAATGCGATTAGTCTTTCCGAGTTGCACGGCCAAGTTGAGCATTATGAACGATGACGTCATTTCTCAAAATTGCCCCACATGGTGATATTTCTCCCATGCTTACCAGGTACATTGACGGTGGCTCGCTGTCTGATGACATTTCGGCCTTGCCGTCGTCTCTGGTTAGGTTGAATCCAGTTTCATCCACGTAGGTGTATTCGACCTTATTTGAGTAATTTTCGTAGTGGGCAAATTTCACGACAAGGCAATTTACATGTATGACATGTAAACTGTAGGGCCTAACACTATACAGGTATTGGGTGTCTCTTCTGCTTACCGATTCTCATTTTGAAATATCCATATGACTGATGCTGCAGTAGGCTTGGGGATATTGGGTCGCACCCATTGTCCAGCTTCCCTCAGTGTTAGCTATGACTGATAACGTTATTAATGAGAGTCGCTAGTATCTCGTTGGACAAAGTGAGTGCCTGTCGTCTTCCTCTCGCTCTTCGTTGATGACCTCTCCCTTGGGTTCTGACTACTCCAGCTCGGCCATGCCGTTCTTGTTCCATTTTACACAGCATTCCTTGAGACACTCACTTGCGGTCCTTTATGCAGCCAGTGCTCTTCGAGATGAATGATCGATTTCATTAGGTCCTTTGCATTAGTGCGCGTGTTATGCGAATGATTTCAGTACACCAATGCTTTTTCCAATTTGAACACAATATGCCTTTAGTTGAGAGAAGAATGCATTCAGTTGAAAACCATGTGAAAGTTACATTGCTAACCTTTAATGAGATATGTAGCAATTTGCTTGCGTATTGAAATCTGTGCAAATACAATAACAGAATACCTTATGTTCCACACAAAATATGCGGAGTTGTGAATGGTGCAGTTTCAATCTGGATCATTGTCAGTTAAGTTGTAGTTGCAGTGTTAAAGCGATTGAGAAAAATACGAAACTTATACGAAACTTGAAAGAAAATCTACGGTTGGATTTGACTAAAGTTTAGCAAAATACAAACAAAAAAAGCTTTAAAAAACGAGGTGAATTCAGACATCATCCCAAGACCCCTATAAAAAAGGGGTGTTTGCTTTGTGAATTCCCTCCTGATCATATAGGATCCATAATTAAGTCTGGTTTTTTTTTACTGTTTTCCACTGCGGTAGCTTTTCGATTAGAAGATGCTGTAGTGCGCGCTGGTTTCAACTCCAACCATCTGTTAAACCCCGAGATAGGACGGGTCAGTAGCGATCAAGCTAACAGCCGAGCGGTGGTGGATTTCACTCCTGAGCCGTACGTCACCGCACGATACGTCAGTGTGAGTATCATTCGCAGTGGGGCAGACGCCATAGTCCAGTTGACTGAGGTTATGGTGGAGGAAGGAACGACAAAGCTGAAGGACGCTTTACCAACAGGTGGGAGCAGTAAAAAGAGGATTTTGCTTATATTGGGAAAAAAATTACCCATCTTGATTGGAAAGATTGTAGTGTTCAAAATATTGACATGACGGATGCACTGCGTTTTCTCTATTGGGTGTCTAGTTCCTTATCATGATTGGTTACAGCATCAGCAAGCTGTGTGTAACAGTGCTATATGCTTTCATTGAATTTGATTTTCAATATTAAGGAGAGTGGCGGAAATTATCTTTGGATATTTTCTTTTCAAGTGGGAGAATAAGGTATGGTTCAATATTTTGATCATCATGTTCAAAAGTTTTCTGAGGTAACTCCTGGTCTTTTGTCATTTTATTTATTTCATCACTTTCTTCTCAGAGTTTACAGAAATTCACGTCTGGTTTTAATTCTATCTATTTGTCTGTATTGTTCCGATCTTTTCTTTCCTATATGATCTGTTGTTAGTCTGGTTTGTCATTGTTTTCTCACCAGGGCATGTCTAAATAAGACTGTCGATTATGTCTCTGTATTTGAGCCTTTTTCATTTATATTTTACACAATTATTTTCTCTTTTTGTAAAGTATTTTTAAAGATAGGCATGTTGAAAAGAGTCTTCTGGGCACCTGTACTTAATGGACCTATGGAAAATATGGCTCAGCGGTAAAGCAGTACTGCGGAAGGTGTTCAAGAAGAAGGCTTCTTATCCGACTTAATTTTTCTCTCTTTCCTACCCACGTTCCTTGAAGCGTTAAATTTAGCTGCCCGCCCAAGCAGTCAAATTTCAAGTTTTACTGACCAAAGCGGTATCTGGGACGCAGACCGAGCTGTGGACGGAGTCCTACAGTATGTAAGCCCATACTGCAGCAGAACAAGTAAGGCTGGACTTTTTACACCAAAGAAATTTGCAATCCAATCAATCAAAACAAAATTTGTGACTTGTAAAAACTAACAAATCCTTCACTTGTTGAGGTTTTCTTGTCGGAAGAATGGAACAAAAAAGGGTTTGAAGTGTGTTGAAGGATATTGCACAGGCGGTATTCTTCTGGAAATAAGGTTTACGGGTCATTCCATTTCAGACCAACACACCTTTTGACCTTCGGTATTTAGTTGTTAATTAAAATTAAAATTCTGGACATCAATGAATAATAAATGCGCACTAATTTTTAGTGGAATCCGCCCTTCCATGTGGTCAGGGCAGAGATCAACAGAATTGGACACTTTTCACTTAAAAATTCCCCCTTTTAGTAAAAATGAAACCTAACCCTCTCATTTTTCATCAAATATATGCAAATAAACAAAGTATCATTTTGAAACCTTTATAAACCAAATGTATTTGAAAGTATGGTTCCTGCTCTAGCAGAATCTGCTTAAACCTTTCTGGGCATTATATAATAATAAATGTTATGGCAATTTTTTACAGTTAGTCAGCTCTGTCAATTTTGTATGAAGTCCTAACATAGTACAGTTGTACCCTAGCACCGTATGCTCTAAAATGACATCAATGAAGTTTGAAATGGTTTTGAGAGCCAGAGCAATCTCACACAAAATTATCATTTCATTCGAGGAGCCTGTTTTAAGAACATAATTGAGTCTTAATATAAGAGGGATTGTGTTGATGTCCAAGTTGTGACTTAAGGTGGCTTCATGAGATGTAACACCAGTGGTCTCAAGAGCTTAATTTACTGATGAGATAGATACTGCATATATGTTCTATATATTGGCACCCCTCTGACCTTCAGTACTGAGATCTTGCAACTTGATTTCCCTCAGATGTCGAGCAAAATCCTTGGTGGAAGATAGATCTGACATCCTTTCACTGCATCAGCAAAATTGCAATCAGGAATATAGATGATCTGGAACGTAAGTTGTTCAGTCGGCCTATTTATTTACAAAATCATGAATGATTGTGATGACCAATTTCAGGGTGTTTTTGTCTGATCAGACAAAGACTGCGTTTTTTTATGTTACGGTGGCATTCAGCTCGTAGAATACTAACATAAACACGAAGAAAAGGAATGGAGGTATTCCTCCCATACTTAAATTCTTTTTGTTAAGTATAAAATAAAGGCTTAAAACCCCTATTGACGTGGTCCTCACGGTATACGTAAACATGTGTTGCATTTTAGAGACAACGAGGCTGAATTTAGAGCATGCTGTTGCTCGTGCTGGCCTGAGTGCCACGTCTACTGGTAACGCGATGTGTGGATCTCCAGTGACCCAGTACCAAGCCTTGATCAATGACTGGATTGAATTCGTGTGTGATCCGTCTAGACTTGCTCGCTACGTTAGCATCAATATTCCCGGCGAAGCGGCTCTTATATTGTGCGAGGTGATAGTTTTACAGTGTGATCTCCAACCTCAAGGTGAATATTCTTACTCCTAAATTGCTTCTCAGTATATCTTTTCACTAGCAGTCAGATTCCTGGGTGTATCCTTGTCTTGTTTTGTCCATAACGATGTTATCAGTATCACAGACTTCTGTTACGTCATCGTTTGAGATGTTTTAGATAAAAACAGCTCACGTGTTTTCATATATTCCAATTGATTTTTGGCTTTCTACGTAAGTCTGTCGACTGAGTAACATTAGTTTGTATAGTTCTCCTTAAGATCAAAAGACGTCGGGAGCATCCGAAAGATCCTGTTTTGATGACGTTACACTACAGCTCTGCGATTTTATACTGTTTCATTACCTCGGGGCGAACGCGCCTGCATGCTTGATCGCTGTATTTGCCCGAACTTAATTGTGTATTACAAGAGGTCGGAGATAGAAAGCGACATGGAATTGCTTTTACAACGACATTGTTAATCAGAACAGTCAGGTGATTTCAACATTGTATCGTATGATAAAGTTGAACGGACCCAATTTGAAGGTCTTGATGAATTTCAGGCAGATGTCATTTGCCGAGAATGACATCTATTTCACTCTCCGGTTTTTGCTCTGTTTTTTTGTGCTATAAAGCCCCTTCTTATGACTGCAAGTTAAAAAAAACTCTCAGGGAACAAGAGTGGAATCATGACATCATCAAATCGGAAGATTCGTTTACCGCCCTCATCGACGCATTTTTTTGGTAACTCTGAGCACTTTTGCGATGGACCTGAACCCCCAAATGATGATATTTTTCTTTAAATGAGAAGAGAGGCTGCCACGTTAGTCATTGTATGAGTAATAATGACCCATTCCCTGTTATATAACGTTTTTACATGAAATTAATGTGGCTGATCTTTAAAGCCGATTGCAGGTAGCTCTGTGAAGTTTAAAACGATGTCATGCGGGCACAAAAAATAGTTCGAAATCAAAAGATCTTTTGATATTAAAATGTAAACGTTTCAGGTCAAGGAGTTGTCGATAAATGTATATAGCCAGACATTGAACACTTTGATGGGCCAGGTCACACAATGACGGAATTAACTTGGCATGGGTAAGGTTTTCCATATGTATGTTAATTGGCCATTGACGCAACAACCTTAGGGGCGTGGAAGTCGGAAGAACAATTCCTGATGAATTGTTCTGGGCTGGAATAGTCCTGTAAATCTCTTGAATTGCAGGCGGGGAGCCTTTAGGTTAGAGACAAACTCGCTACATCGACTGGTGAGTTTTGTAGCTATTTCTAAGGTCCTATGAGTGGCTTATACATGGTACAAGTTGTGTGATAAAATCTGCAAATCTGTAGTGTACAGAAATATACATATACCTGCACATCAATTAATGTATAATGCATTATGGCCTACACAGGGTGTATCAAGGAAAAGTAAACATAGGATAAATTTTCAAAAATGTGGTTGTACCTTTTGGTGAATGGGGTAGCTTTGCTTTGATTAATTCCAGTTTCTTCATTCGCATTCCATGCTTCAATGAACAGTAGAAGTTTCAATTTTGGAAAAAAAGTCTGCTGGGCAAAGGTGTGTAAGGGCTAAAATGTCGGATCTGTCGGATGGAATAAAAAATTTAAAAGGAGTTTTCCTTGCACACATAAAATAAATAAAAAAAACCTTCAACCTCCTACCATCGACACCAAAACAATCTCATTATTTATCTCATCATTACCAAGCAGAAAGGGGTTAACATCGCATACATTTCTCGCTGAATTTTAACCCTCACACATCTGTGCGTAAGGGACTTTTATTTTCCCAAATTCAAATTTCCCGACGGTGCTCATTGAAGCGTAAAATGTGAACCACGAAACTGGCATCAATCAAAGCAGAAGTACCTCCTTCATCAACGGGTACAACCTGATTTTTGAAACTCGGCCCTAAGTCATTTTTATGGTTATTTTCTGAGTCTTTTTTCCCGATTCACCCTGTAGAAAGTACTTTGTAAGTGGAGTTGGCAGCATGTATCTGGTGTATGAAGTTTATATTTTTCTTTATTTATTTGTTTACATTAGCACTACAAATTGTCATAACATGGAAAAGATTTTTTAAATGCAGTACAAGTAATTATCCCCAAAAATTACTTACAGTATATTAGCTTCCAAAATACACACCTGTAGATATACCGTACATTTACTTAAAAGAAACCAGCTCCATTAAGAAAACAAACTAAAATGAACAGAAATCACAAAAGAACCATGAAAACACCAAAACAAGACAAAAGAAAACACATTAAAACACTAACCCCCTCCCTTGATGGAAAAATAAAATCGACTAGTTCAAACTGGCAAGGTGGTAAAGGGATGGCGACTGCGAAGGTTTCTCCCATGACACTATTTCCTGATAGGAGGCAAATTGATTTAGTAATTTAATTATGAGCCAGATCTTCAGCAAAATCTGCACAGTGCTACATTCTCATAAGTCGAATTCACATGCATCAGGGTGGAGGTGTAATTATCATACATGTAACTCCCCAGCACATTACTCCACAATGTTTAGGGAAATTGGTTATTTATCTTATGGAACCGAATGACATGAGTTTATGAGTGTCTTTGTTCGTGTTGATTATTTTTTAATTGTATGCCTTATATAAAGTCACTTTAATAAAAAAAAGACCCGGAAGTATCAAGGTAAACCTCAGACTGGCCAAACTGCCTCCCTCCTTACTCAACACTGGGATTAAACTACACTTGGTGTAGTTCCCCTGGAGGATTTGTAAACCCATTCGCTTCGGGTAGACCTAGTAGAGTTCCCCTGGGGGTTTGGGAACCTTTTCGCTTGGAGGAAACTTGGTACACTTCGAAGTTAGGTTTAGGTTAGTTCTTCCATCCGACCTCAAGCTTGGAGGCCTACCCTCTCGTATTCTGAGAGGGGAGGTCGGGCCCCAGGCATATTTCCATAGAATATACAGGAAGCATGGAGGCCTTTATTTCATCTTACTGCAAGTTAGGTTAGATGAGATCTCTACCCAACTTCACGCTCGGAGGTCTCTTCTTTTGGCTTGTACTTTTGCACTTTGAGGGGGCCAGGGCCAGGTTGCAGGCATATTTCAACACTTAATGTAAAAGAAGTAAGGTTGTTGTCCCAGAGTACTTCTTGTCGCAGGTTAGATTAGATCTTTGCCTGACTTAATGCTTGGAGGACTTTCTTCACCAACCGTCTCGTGCCTTGGGGCGGGGTAAGTCCGCTTGCTTATTGTTGTTGTTGGTTGCATGCGTTCGTCAGGGAGTGAGGACAATGGAACCGCGCACATTATCTACAGCTACAGTCGTGGCTTAATAATCCCACTCTCACGTGACAGTCTCTCCGGCAGCTAGCATGGATATAGGGGATGAGACCTGGCGTGGAGGCATGGACCGCTGTTCTCTGTTTCCTCCTTTGCCTCTTTTCTTGCAGCAGGCAGGGGCGTTGCTCTTCAGCCTGACAGCATGTAACAATACTATTTACAGGAAGTAAGGCGATCCTTTAGCACAAGACCCTCTCTTGAACGCGCGGGGTACGCTTCGCAGGCTTATTTCGATCTATGTTCGGGTGTTGTGACGCACACAAATGGCATGCTGCGTTTTGGCCCTGCACTCCGCCATATCCCATACAAACGAGTGTAAAGGAGGTAGGGTGGTCCTTATCACCCTCTTGATTGGAGAGGGACTGTGCCTATCGTCCAGTTTGGATGTGTCTTTTTTCAGGTTACATATCAAACGGTACGTGGCCTCCAAGTTAAAGAGGGACTTTGCCTAACTCCAGGCTAGGGGTACTCTTCCCTGGCATTAACCCTTTGTATCTTTAGGGGTAGGGACAGGGCGTAGATGGCTGGGTTAGACTATATTCAAGACGTAAAGTAGTCCTTTGGTACATCGTACCAAAGGTTAGTTTTGCATATTCTTACCAACTCCTTATTGGTCTTTTTAGCTTCATTGTGCAGACCATTCTTTGGCAGGATAGAGTGAGCGTATTGGACCGATCATACTTGTATTTCTAGTTAACTTCCTGCATACTTTTCACTTATTTAGATACGTGATGTCATGTATAAGAAAATATTGCCAAATTTAAAGTTCTTCCTAATGCACTTAAAAAAACAAACTTGTTACAGTGTTATTTATAGTTAAGCCAGGTCAGTTTTAATTAATTAATTGTAAGAAAAACTTGTCGGCTGTAATTGTTTATTACCAGATTCAATTATTCCTGCGCAATGAGTGAAATGCATGTATTGCTGAACTAGTAAAGTGAGCTTGTGACCCGACCTAAAATAGTTTGTTGGCAATAAGTTCTGCAGTGGCAGTCGCGGCAACAGGCAAAAAAGTGTTATTCTGTCCATTCTATCCCAAAGGGATAGATGTGCATACTTATCTCATTAGAAGGGGTCAGGCTGGGTTTTTTTAGCAGGCCTAACTGTCCCTGATAGATAGGGGGAATCGATCCGATATTTTCTTTTTTACAGTTTTTGGATTCTGGTTTATAAACAAGTCTATCGAAATGCTGATGCCTTTAGTTACATTTTCGCGTAAGAGGGGTTCAAAATATCAGATTTTGTTTAATGCATTTTTATTACACTCTTTTGCTTTTATGATGCACGTTGACAAAGCACTTAATATGACTGAGAAACCAACCAATCAGAGCTCTACGATAAATGGACAGGATGCTGGAAGAGCCTTTGACGGACTCCCAGAAGAACCGTTCTGTAGCGTCACGGGTAAGTTCCCTGCCTGGTTTTTGCTCACCGACTTGATCAAAGAGAAAGCACGTGCAAGAGAATTTCCTCATCGAAATGTACTGCAGTCTACCGAAATTTCTCTTGGTATGCTAGTGCGGTTTGATTTTTGCCCATAGGCTGTTACATGCACAGGCTCTCTATGATCAGTCTTTTTCAAATCCAGAAATAGGAGATCATGGACGGGAAGTCAGTACGCCCGCTGAGTCACATTAACTACTGTGGGTATCAAACACAGCAACGTGTGTTGCAGTACTGTTTAGCAAAAAATAAAGCCTTTTCTTAGTATAGTATTAAGCACATCAGTTTGTTTTCTTAGTACTGTGCCGACCGTCGGGTTTATTTTGGGTAAATGAAACTTTGGACACTTTACTTTTGGAGGACGCCTTGTTTGTTGATGTTTGATACCCACCATAGGTCACCCAGTCTATTCCCACGAACTGCGTACATCTGCCGGAAACACTTCATGAAACATTACATCTATGCTTTGGATGAATGATAACCTCACTTCCAGAGGTGGTCCGAGTCATTGCTTTCAGTGGATCTCCATCCCTCACATGACGTGTTCTCTGGGCATTGTATGATCTGCTGTGTCTCTATAAGGGTAATTGGGAGTGTTTAGCGCTCTTTGACCTTTCGCCTAGAAATATTAAAAGATCACACGAAAATGTATTAAAATAACAATATTATCATAATGATATGAATAGGAATGAGGTATAGGGTGCAAAATAATGTCACGGGGTTGACCTTTTGTATGGATGCAAGGGAATAAGAATATAAGGGTCAGAAAGTCTGGCATAAGTTGACCTTTTGTAAGGGAGGAATACGAATATCATAGGATTAAAATTCTGGTACAGATTGACCTAGAGATGAACAACGTCACCAAGATTGGCTGGTTGAAGCTCAAGTTTGATTACCCAGTGTTAAATCAGTGGCGTAACTTCGGGTGGGGGAGGGGGCACATGTTCCCAAGAAGATTCTCACCCCCCAGATTCCCCCTCCCCATTTGAAATCTTTGAATAATATACTTTGATATGTGATACCCCTAGACAAAATACGTACACTCCTGGAGCCCCCCTTGAAATTAAGCCATAGTTATGCCACTGTGTGAGATGCACAACTGTGAAATCATCCATCGCATGGGTGACTCTCCATTCCAAAATAAGGTCAAAAGCTTGGCTATTATCTGGAAATAAGACCAGTCTACACATTCATAGTGCAAATTCAATAACTTTCACGACTCATAACTGTAAAATTGTATTAATGTTTTCTGAAGACAAAATTTACACTTTGAAGAGAGAAATAACGGCGGGATAAAAGAGTTGTAAACATCTGTCTACCATTTAGAATGGTGGGTCACCTAACCTTGTCCATTTGGGGGTTGCTGTTGTTGGGCTTTTTTCGCTTGAATTTGCCGTCACTCGGCAATTTTCAATGCTGAAATTGATCTGAGCCTTTGTGGCAGATGTTGTGCCATACTGGCATCTCGTATACTTAATATTGCCAGGCGTCTGCTAACATCTGCATGCCTTGATTTTTTTTTGGGGGGTGACATACCTTGTGATTTCTTGCCAGATATGAGTGGGATTGTTGCCAGATATGAGTAGGATTGTTTCATCTATTCTTCACTCAGCCATGCGCACACGGCGGCCCGTCAGCCAAGGTCAAACCTCGTGTCAGAAAGTACTCGATACCAAGAATACAACATATCTTAAAGACGTGGGTTTCAGCATGGAGGAAGGACACAGGAGTTTGAACTGCCCGGGCTATAATATCTGGCCGATTACCGTTTTCTGACTAGCCAGAGCGCAGCGAGCGCTTGCTACACATCACTTGTTTCACAACCACGAGACCCGTTTGTACCCTATGATCACCGATGCGATTTTTCATTGGTAATCTGCATCCTTAAAACTTTGTATGTATAGATAAGGAATTTGAATATTCATATTTTGTAGGTGCTTGGTATGATCTCATAACAACATTTAACTTAATGTTTGCGCAGCAGCTTGTGTTAATAGACCGTGTGTCTGAAATGTTCATGTGCAGTTATAGCCCTTCTTGAATACTTTGGTCAGAAGTTAATTTGGGAATAAATAGCCAAGTTTTTTGTTTTGTTTTAATAATTTGTTATTACGGCGTTTGTACAAAGGAGAGATCTCATGATCAATCCTAGTGATGAAATAGTGCATTTTGTTCATCATGATCTTAGCTTTTCAGTGGTTGTCAATATGTTGTTGCCCTGTGTTAAGATCCCTCTGAAATATTGGTAGTTTTATTTATTTGTTGTTTTTGTCTGTTAAATTTCTCCCCTGGCAGCAAATAGTCTCGCTCTCTTACGCGTCACTTCTTTAACCAATCAAAATTTCGCGCTTGTTTTCCTAGCAGCCAGTAGAACTTCGTCGATCACGGATCGGGCGTCTTAATCGCGATCGAGAGACGCGCGGTTTCGTTGCCATGAATTACGTAAAAACACCGGCCATGGTCATTGTCCAAACATACTTTTGTCTTTGTTGTGTTAAGGTCCGGTTTTTTTCCCCCACTAATTTCTTTATCTGTAGTCGTAGGATGGTGTAGTTTTTTTTGGAGTTGAGTTTGGTGTGTATGAGAGTGTTGGTGGAAGATTTATTTTGATTCTCAATCTGACAACATCCTAAAGTGAAAGCTGAGCTGAGTGAGAGATTTGTGACCGGTGTCAACTTCGCTAAA